ACTTTTTGTAGTACTTTTTTATGTGAAACAATTGTGGAAAAAAATGACCGTATGTAGTGAGGTGATTGGCCACAATTTAAAAGCTGCCTGTGGCAGAGGTACTATTACGTAAATCGCAAAGTCTTATGGGAAGATGATTGTACAAATTGCCTTCAAATTTGTTTCTTCTATTTTTACGTTCGATTTAACGCGGGATCTCACAGGGAACGACAATAAAATAGTCATGACACTATAGTAATACAAACGTAAATTATTTATACTTTTAGAATAATCTGAGCATAGCAATGACATGATAAGAAAAACACAACTATGATTATATTATCTCGTACCTTATCAAACCTAGCTTTTCCCGTCTCGTCTGGAACAAGGCTCAATATATCCATGGTATAATTAGTCCGCCTTCCCAATTTGTCAAATCTGATTGGCCCAGTCAGTCCCTGGATATCGACCTATGCAAATAATCAAAGATAATATTTGTTAATCGTAGTCCTAAATAACTATTAAAAATAGCTAGACGTTTCGAGCAATGGCTCTTTATCGATAGCATAGAAGCAAGTGCAAATAATCAACAGGGGCATCAGCAAACAAAATGAATGAATGAACAAAATAAATACGGAATCTAAATTCATGGATGGCATATGTGGTTTTGAGTTTTGAAAATTGTTTTTTACCGTAGATCATATCTTTTATCATATTTCAGCGTACCTAATAGAAACATATACCTAACACATCGCTATCGCATGTATAATACACGTAAATTAATAAACCACCGCAAATGGAGAATATATTATTACACAGTTGTATGTACATTAATATGCACGGATAGTATATACGTCGCACGACGAAATTAACAAGTGAAAAATTCACTGTTTGGATTATTGATTGTTGCAATGAATCGAGGCCAATGGTGAGAGTTTGTAATTACCTCTTTTAGGTAGTTATTCATTTTTTCGCCATCACGCCAAGGTTTTTGATGTTTGTTGTCGCAATTTATTAGTTCTGAGTCTATGTCGACGTGGTCATTCTTCATCAGTCGAAACGCTTCGGTGATCACCGATACGGCATCGTAAACCAACGCCGCCTGGAACTGTGGGAAAACACACAATAGTTGCAGTGCTCTATGATATGGCTCGAATCGTACTCGGATACACACAGGAAAGAGAAGCCAACCAAAAAACAAAACAAAACATTAACTATAACCACTACATTGAGTATAGAAATTGAACGAAGTTGGGTAGGGTGATAGTAGATGTGATCATGTTTTGCGACATCAAGATATTTCATAATTTCTTGTATTGTCAATCATGGACGTAGTGGGCGTGAACACGTCACTAGCGTTCTGTTTTATACACCATATGCTAATGAAGCAATTCCCCAACATTGCACCTTCCACGTAACCACCTTGACACTTACTTTCACGTATGTGATATTTTCAAATTCTGCATATTTTTCAGTGAATTGGTTCCAGACATCTCGATATTCTTTTAGCCTCGTATTCGTTTCGTCTACCATACGAAAACCAGTCACGTTCGCGCCTCCGTATTTAAAATTTTCAAGATCGATATGGTACACGTCCTGCACAACAGAAGATACGGATAGTTAAGATTGCGTTCTGTTGACATTTCTTCCCAACATCAATCACCTGAGGAGTCATGTAACCTCAAGTGTGTGACGTTACCTTTTTTTGCTGTTCCATTGAATTTTTCACAAAAACAAAGTTAAATAAGTAATCCACAATCTAATACAGTGAAGGGCAGAAAACTGTGGTCTTTATAAACGTTTTATTAATATACATTTATAAATCATAATGGATATTAGAATTAAAATTGACCAATCCCGAAATTGTATTGTGACGTCATTATTAGCTCTAATAATATCAAAGATGGTTCTACATTATCTGGCGTTCGCAGTTGCCAAGTAACGTGAATGCATGTGTGCGCAATATGAGCGTATACAATGTTCCGTTTTTGAGCCAATCATTATTAAATATTTGAATTTGAATGAATTCCGATGATTGGTACTTACAAATTGTTATAAATAGTTTAACAATCAAAGCCTCAGCTTTGTGTCTTTCGCTGTATATACACTAAATAGTTGTAGGTAAAACATATTTTGACTTTGCTCTGGAAACCAACATTTTTATGCTAAGTAAATAGCAAAATGGTGACATTATTCACTGACTGATTAAAAAAACGATGTTCGTTATTCTAGTCGGAGTTGGTATATATTCGATCGAGTACGAAGCTCACTTCTAAACTATAACCGAGCTGTCAATGTACTGGTACCCTTCAAATCACGGGGAAACGACGGCTCTACCATGATATCTGTGTAGCCAGTGCTTTGGCGTGTTTGCAATGTTTCACACGAAAAAGGTGTATACTATCTATTTAACAAAACACGACATATTTGAATGAATTTTGTACTTACAAAGTCAAGAACTACAAAATGATACTTCCTTGTGACCATGCCAAGCTGCAGAGCCTGTAGTTAGAAAAACATTGACACGTTAGATGGCTGGTGAGTTAATAGTGGTATTATTTCGTACAAAATTATGCATACGTAATACAAGTAAATGATGTGTTAACCCATAGCTAGACATACGTATTACAAGTAAATACAGTTATGCGTTAACCCATAGCTAGACATACGTATTACAAGTAAATACAGTGATGTGTTAACCCATAGCTAGACATACGTATTACAAGTAAATGCAGTGATGCGTTAACCCATAGCTAGACATACGTATTACAAGTAAATACAGTGATGCGTTAACCCATAGCTAGGCATACGTATTACAAGTAAATACAGTGATGTGTTAACCCATAGCTAGGCATACGTGTTACAAGTAAATACAGTGATACGTTAACCCATAGCTAGACATACGTATTACAAGTAAATACAGTGATGAGTTAACCCATAGCTAGGCATACTTATTAGAAGTAAATAAAGTGATGTGTTAACCCATAGCTAGACTTACGTAATACAAGTGAATACAATGATGTGTTAACCCATAGCTAGACATACATATTACGAGTAAATACAATGATGAATTAACCCATGGCTAGGCATACGTATTACGAGTAAATACAGTGATACGTTAACCCATAGCTAGACATACGTATTACAAGTAAATACAGTGATGTGTTAACCCATAGCTAGGCATACGTGTTACAAGTAAATACAGTGATACGTTAACCCATAGCTAGACATACGTATTACAAGTAAATACAGTGATGAGTTAACCCATAGCTAGACATACGTATTACAAGTAAATACAGTGATGCGTTAACCCATGGCTAGGCATAGTAATACAAGTAAATACAGTGATGCGTTAACCCATAGCTAGACATACGTATTACAAGTAAATAAAGTGTTGAGTTAACCCATAGCTAGGCATACGTAATACAAGTAAATAAAGTGATACGTTAACCCATATCTAGGCATACGTATTACAAGTAAATACAGTGTTGGGTTAACACACAGCTAGGCATACTTATTACAAGTGAATAAGGTGATGTGTTAACCCATAGCTAGGCATACATATTACAAGTAAATACAGTGATATGTTAACCCATAGGCATACGTATTACAAGTAAATAGAGTGATGAGTTAATCCATAGCTAGGCATACGTATTACAAGTAAATAGAGTGATGAGTTAACACACAGCTAGGCATACTTATTACAATTAAATAAAGTGTTGAGTTAACCCATAGCTAGGCATACGTATTACAAGTAAGTACAGTGATGTGTTAACCCATAGCTAGACATACGTATTACAAGTAAATACAATGACACGTTAACCCATAGCTAGGTATACGTATTACAAGTAAATACAGTGATGTGTTAACCCATAGCTAGGCATACGTATTACAAGTAAATACAGTGATGCGTTAACCCATAGATAGGCATACGTATTACAAGTAAATACAGTGATGCGTTAACCCATAGATAGGCATACGTATTACAAGTAAATACAGTGATGCGTTAACCCATAGCTAGGCATACGTATTACAAGTAAATAAAGTGTTGAGTTAACCCATAGTTTGGCATACGTATTACAAGTAAATAAAGTGATGCGTTAACCCATAGATAGGCATACGTATTACAAGTAAATACAGTGATGCGTTAACCCATAGATAGGCATACGTATTCCAAGCAAATACAGTGATGTGTTAACCCATAGCTAGGCATACGTGTTACAAGTAAATACAGTGATACGTTAACCATAGCTAGACATACGTATTACAAGTAAATACAGTGATGTGTTAACCCATAGCTAGACATACATATTACGAGTAAATACAATGATGAATTAACCCATGGCTAGGCATACGTATTACGAGTAAATACAGTGATACGTTAACCCATAGCTAGACATACGTGTCACAAGTAAATACAGTGATACGTTAACCCATAGCTAGACATACGTATTACAAGTAAATACAGTGATGAGTTAACCCATAGCTAGACATACGTAATACAAGTAAATACAGTGATACGTTAACCCGTAGCTAGACATACGTATTACGAGTAAATACTGTGATGTGTTAACTCATAGTTAGACATACGTATTACAAGTAAATACAGTGATGCGTTAACCCATATCTAGGCATACGTATTACAAGTAAATACAGTGATGGGTTAACACACAGCTAGGCATACTTATTACAAGTGAATAAGGTGATGTGTTAACCCATAGCTAGGCATACGTATTACAAGTAAATACAGTGATGTGTTAACCCATAGGCATACGTATTACAAGTAAATACAGTGATGAGTTAATCCATAGCTAGGCATACGTATTACAAGTAAATAGAGTGATGAGTTAACACACAGCTAGGCATACTTATTACAATTAAATAAAGTGTTGAGTTAACCCATAGCTAGGCATACGTATTACAAGTAAGTACAGTGATGTGTTAACCCATAGCTAGACATACGTATTACAAGTAAATACAATGACACGTTAACCCATAGCTAGGCATACGTATTACAAGTAAATACAGTGTTGTGTTAACCCATAGCTAGGCATACGTATTACAAGTAAATACAGTGATGCGTTAACCCATAGATAGGCATACGTATTACAAGTAAATACAGTGATGCGTTAACCCATAGATAGGCATACGTATTACAAGTAAATACAGTGATGCGTTAACCCATAGCTAGGCATACGTATTACAAGTAAATACAGTGATGTGTTAACCCATAGGCATACGTATTACAAGTAAATAAAGTGTTGAGTTAACCCATAGTTTGGCATACGTATTACAAGTAAATAAAGTGATGCGTTAACCCATAGATAGGCATACGTATTACAAGTAAATACAGTGATGCGTTAACCCATAGATAGGCATACGTATTCCAAGCAAATACAGTGATGTGTTAACCCATAGCTAGGCATACGTGTTACAAGTAAATACAGTGATACGTTAACCCATAGCTAGACATACGTATTACAAGTAAATACAGTGATGTGTTAACCCATAGCTAGGCATACGTGTTACAAGTAAATACAGTGATACGTTAACCCACAGCTAGACATACGTATTACAAGTAAATACAGTGATGTGTTAACCCATAGTTAGACATACGTATTACAAGTAAATACAGTGATGCGTTAACCCATATCTAGGCATACGTATTACAAGTAAATACAGTGTTGGGTTAACACACAGCTAGGCATACTTATTACAAGTGAATAAGGTGATGTGTTAACCCATAGCTAGGCATACGTATTACAAGTAAATACAGTGATGTGTTAACCCATAGGCATACGTATTACAAGTAAATACAGTGATGAGTTAATCCATAGCTAGGCATACGTATTACAAGTAAATAGAGTGATGAGTTAACACACAGCTAGGCATACTTATTACAATTAAATAAAGTGTTGAGTTAACCCATAGCTAGGCATACGTATTACAAGTAAGTACAGTGATGTGTTAACCCATAGCTAGACATACGTATTACAAGTAAATACAATGACACGTTAACCCATAGCTAGGCATACGTATTACAAGTAAATACAGTGATGCGTTAACCCATAGCTAGGCATACGTATTACAAGTAAATAAAGTGTTGAGTTAACCCATAGTTAAACATACGCAATACAAGTAAATACAGTGATGCGTTAACCCATAGATAGGCATACGTATTACAAGTAAATACAGTGTTGAGTTAACCCATAGCTTGGCATACGTATTACAAGTAAATAAAGTGATGCGTTAACCCATAGATAGGCATACGTATTACAAGTAAATACAGTGATGCGTTAACCCATAGATAGGCATACGTTTTACAAGTAAATGCAGTGTTGAGTTAACCCATAGCTTGGCATACGTATTACAAGTAAATACAGTGATGCGTTAACCCATAGATAGGCATACGTATTACAAGTAAATACAGTGATGCGTTAACCCATAGATAGGCATACGTATTACAAGTAAATACAGTGATGCGTTAACCCATAGCTTGGCATACGTATTACAAGTAAATACAGTGATGCGTTAACCCATAGATAGGCATACGTATTACAAGTAAATACAGTGTTGAGTTAACCCATGGCTAGGCATAGTAATACAAGTAAATACAGTGTTGGGTTAACACACAGCTAGGCATACGTATTACAATTAAATAAAGTGTTGGGTTAACCCATAGCTAGGCATACGTATTACAAGTAAGACAAGTGATATGTTACTGTAAATACTGTACTTACTTTTTAATACGTGTACCTAGATATGGGCTATTGTAAAATACTTTATTTTCGCTTGAAATTAATTTTCGCTACATTTACTGATGGGTTGATTCAGTGAATATAAAAACCAGTGAATTTCCTTATATTTTACATTACACTCCCAAAAATCGCCGAAAATCAGCAAAAATTAACTTAAGCTAAATTAAAGAATTTTACAGTAACCTATATCTAGACACAATTATTACAAGTACGTACAGTAATATGTTAACCCATATCTTGGCATACTATTTCAGTGCAATACAACTAAACATCACAAAGGGGGGGGGGCATACTTAATTATGCCTCTAGGCTATGCAGGTTATAGCAATTTGACAACATTGTTTTCTGTCTTCATTTCGATTAAAAATGTTAGTTATAATTATATGGCTAATTAAACTGCTCGCATTCTTGTCACGTGGTTCTGTGTGCTGAACACCATTACATTAAACTATTCAGAGATGCCAGTGACAAGCTGTTTAACGTGACCGATAACGTAATACTCTTTAATGTGTTGGAGATATCTATGCTTAGGAACACACGTACAAATTGACAGAAGATAGTCAATTGATGAGCTCGCTGCATTCCCCTCTTTTACGATAAGATCGTACATTAAATGCGAGGATATGTTTGCGCCATTAACTTGACCATTGTGTCCCAAGTGACACTTGCATACAACGATCCATCATTATTTCCGGGTTGGCCACGCTCTGTGGCAAGCGAGACAATTGC